TACCAATTGATGATGGTCAACAAGGAATATCCTTCAGCTGAAAACTAGAACCACAGATTGGAGAGAAAAAAAATAGGCCCAGGGAAACAAGCCTTTCTACCCTGGTTAGAAAGGGAAACGATAACTGGGTGCTCACACTCTTCTGGTGGGAAATAAGATGGTGACTGCCATATTGAGACTTACAGTGAACTAGCAGGACAAGAAAGCAGCTAAGATTCTGGTAAAACTAGACCACTCTCTGGGACTACAGGTAAATTATGGCAGCATCAGGAAAATATCCACTATGGAAGCCTGTTTTGAGTGTTGCATGTATTCTCTGTAAAGAATTTCCTTTGTGTTTTCTCCTTAATTTAAATTTAAAATTTTTTTAAAGAAAATAAGCCCAGGCTAGGCTAGGTGGTTTACATCTGTAATCCTGGTACTTTGGGAAGCTGAGGTGGGCAGATCACTTGAGGTCAGGAGTTCGAGACCAGCCTGGCCAACAGGGTGAAACCCCATCTCTACTAAAAAATAGAAAAATTAGTTGGATGTGATAACACACACCTGTAATCCCAGCTACTCGGAAGGCTGAAGCAGGATAATTGCTTGAACCCAGGAGGCAGAGGTTGCACTGAGCCAAGATCGTGCCACTGCACTCCAGACTGGGTGACAGAGTGAGAGTCCATCTCACCAAAAAAAAAAAAGAAAGAAACAAAATCAGGCTGGGCACAGTGGCTCACACCTGTAATCCAAGCACTTTGGGAGGCTGAGGCAGGCAGGTCACTTGAGGTCAGGGGTTTGAGATAAGCCTGGTCAACATGGTGAAACCCCATCTCTATTCAAAATACACACACACACACACAGTTAGCCAGGGGTGGTGGTGTACATCTGTAATCCAAGCACTTTGGGAGGCCAAGGTGGGTGGATCACTTGAGGTCAGGAGTTCAAGACCAACCTGGCCAACATTGTGAAAATCCTCTCTCTACTAAAAATATAAACAATAGCTGGGTGTGATGGTGTCACCTGTAATCCCAGCTACTCAGGAGGCTGAGGCACAACAATCACTTGAACCTGGGAGGCAGGAGTTGCAGTGAGCCCAGATCGTGCCACTGCACTCCAGCCTGGGTGACAAGAGTGAGACTCTGTCTCAAAAAAAGAAAAAAAGAAAGAAAAGGAAAGAAAATCAGCCAGTTTCAGCTGTCTCTGAAGGAACCCCCCCTAAAAACTGCTCTGTTGGTCAGGTATGGTGGCTCACACTTGTAATACCAGCACTTTGAGAGGGCAAGGCAGGAGGATCGCTTGAGCCTGGGAGTTTGAGACAAGCTTGGGCGACATAGTGAAATCCCATCTGTACAAAAGAAAAATCAATACCTGGGAGTAGTGGTATGTGTCTGTAATGCCAGCTACTCTGGAGGGTAGGCAGGAGGATCGCTGGAGCCCAGGAGGTCGAGGTTGCAGTGAGCTACGATTGTGCCACTGCACTCCAACCTGGGTGACAGAGCAAAACCCCATCTCAAAAAAAAAAAAAGGAGAGGGGGAGCTCTCTCCACACTGTCCACATTAGGGTCAGACCATTAAAAAAGAAACACGTGGGGAATCCTAATGATCACAGTAGTAACAATTGAAGTAAGAGACCCTCAAGAGAAAGAACCCAAAGAGCCTAAGTCACCCCACGGGAGCAGCCCTCCTTTGCTTTCTGGCAGATCTGCTTTCCATTTGTTCTCCTTACCTAAAACCCTGTGCTTTGTTTTAATAAAATTTCCCCACTCTCTTCCGGTGCCTTCCTACCTTCTCTAACTACAAAGTTCTTTATGAAGCCAAGGGAAGTGTTACCTCCTTGTATGGAGTCAGACATCCATAGATAAGCCAACATCTCTCTCTGTACAATCTCCATTTATGAACATGGTTATATTTCATTTAAATAAATATTATTTGCCTTCAAATAATTCTTTCCTACTAATTAAAGCATTTCAGCCTTGTCCCCAGTTGAAGTTCTCTCTTCCTGCCCACCAACCCCCCTGAACATGTTCCCAGGCCTTTCCACCATGTAAACCCGTAATCTTTTATGCCACTATCCATATTGGTTTATAAAACAGAGGTATGCAACACATTGGAAAGAAAAATGGCACCTGTCAAATACCAAACCCTATGAAATGCCTGTGCAATTTCACTTTCCACCTAGTAAATATCCAATTATTTTCCAGAATAGCTCTTTCCAGAATTCAAATCTGTTTCCATTAATATTAAAAGTTTAGAGGTCTGGGAGAACAGGAAGTGGCTGATTAAAAGCAGATGGGGTTCATTATCTGGTTAATCACGATCCAGTATTTCCCACCTCCATTTGCCTCTCCCCGTCCCCTAACACCATGTTCTGCCTCAGCAAAGGTCTCACTGAAATTCTCCAAATAAAAACTTATCCTATAATATTTCAAGAGTGAAGCTTTGTTTTGGAGGGCTTGAGACCAGTATCATAAAAGAAATTTATTTCATACCATTTTTGCCAGGAAAGCAAATATCTTGAAAAGTATTGACTATCATTCTGTTGCACAGAAAGGATGCCCATTGTGCTTGTTAGAGTCAGGCTCTGCTTGAATGTTAGTCACAGAATTAAATTTAGAGTTGGAAGGGTCTCTTGGAGATTCCCTGCCCATTTAGTAGATGCGGAAACTGAGACTGTGAGGAAGAAAGGGACTTGCTGAAATTGCACCTCCAGTTAGTGGCAGAGCTGGGACTAGGACACATATCAGTGCCAGGTATTGCTGGTGTGTGGGAAAAACGCTGAAAGGACCTGAATGAAATGAATTGCAGTCATTTCTCTGTCTACTACATCTCCATGGGCCACATGTTAATGGCTCATCTTTTATTTGCTCCCCTGAGAATTGACTCAAAGGCAAAGCCAAAATGGGTATTTTAATGCAAAGCACATTAGGAGGCCAGAAGGCAAAAGGAGGTACAGTCTGGAGTTGCTGGCTGCACTTGGCTGGGAAGGCTTTGCTGCAGGCCTTAGGAGACTGCTCATTCGATGCTCTAGGTGCCAACACCAAGAAGAGGCAAGGCCAAAGGCTGAACACAGCTATGGCAGTGCCCATCCCTTCATGGAGTCCACATCTGATAAGCAGGGCAAGTGGAGTTATGTGACATGTTCCTTGGAGGTGAGGAGCAGCCCTCTCAGTAACCCAACATTCCTCAGAAATTTTAAGGAACTAAAAGCCTTCCAAAGTGGGGTGACTATGGTAAGGCTCAGTGCAGGTAAAAAAAAAAAAAAGGCATGTGTTTTTCAGCATGATTTGGAAAAGTATTTAGACAGGACATGAGGAAAAGGTCTCAAAAACAAGGACCAGCCAGTGCCATCACCATACACAGGCGACCTTGGTAGTGTCTTCTCTACTCCCAAGACTACTCAAAACCATCTCTTAGATGTCCTGAATGTTGCTGGTGAGATTTTCACAGCCTCTGTGAAAATCTCACCAGCAACATACAGGGCATCTGCTCCTCAAAGGATTAATATAGTGTTACCATATGACCCAGTAATCCCACTCCCAGCTATACACAAACTCAAGAGAACTGAAAGCAGAGACTTGAACAGGTATTTGCATACTAATGTTCACTGCATTGTTACTCACAATAGCCAAAAGGCAGAAAGACCACTTTTTGTTTATCCAGTCATCTCTTGATGGACAGTTATAACAATGGAATGTTACTCACCCATAAAAAGGAATGAAGTACTGATCCATGCGACAACATGGATGAACATTGGAAATATTTTGCTAAGTAAAAGAAGTCAGTCACAGCCATGTGTGGTGGCTCACACCTGTAATCCCAACACTTTAGGACTGCTTGAGCCCAGGAGCTCAAGACCAGCCTGGGCAACATGGTGAAACCCCATTTTCACAAAACATACCAAAAAAAAAAATTGGGTATGGTGTAGCTGTAATACAGCTACTCAGGAAGCTTAGGTGGGAGGACTGATTGAGCCTGGGATGTTGAGGCTGCAGTGAGCCATGAACTTTCTACTGCACTGCAGCCTGGGCAACAGAGTTGAGACCTTGTCTCAAAATAATCATAATAGCCATCCTAACGGGTGTGAAGTGGTATTTCATTGTAATTAACTACCTGCCCTCTTTTATGGGTCTTACGGTCTTACTTTCACAATGATTACCCTAGTGTCTATTTTTTCTTGGAACTCTAGACAGGTCTGCATATGGTTGCAAAGACCACCCTTTGTGAAACTGTGCTTGAAGAAAGCAACAGCTCCCTCTGTTGCCCCCCGCCACAATTTTGGTACAACTTTCTCATATTAATGAGCCAAGATCTCCCTACCTAAATTCTGACCCAGTTTCTTCTCACCATACCATGATATTGCTATAGGCTCTACCACTATTCTATCTGACAAGTTTGAAAGAAGAAAACCTACTCATCTTTCTTGCAGCCAGCAGATGATTCCTGAATAGATAGATACACCTTGATTGCCAGCTGGGAGCCTTCAGCCATCCTGTCTTAGTTCACTTTCTGCACCTATAACAGACTGGGTAATTTATAAAGAAAATAGATTTATTTGGCTCATGGTTCTGGAGCCTGAGAAATCCAAAGGCATAGTGCCAGTGTATGCTTGGTACCCAGGGAGGACCTTCCTGCTGTGTCCTAACATGGCAGAAGGGCAAGCAAGCATTCAAGACAGAGAGAGGAACAGGGCTGAAATTATCTTTCTATTAAGAGTCTATTCCTATGATATCAGAATTAATCATTGATGAGGGCAGAGACCTTATGGCCTAATCACCTCTTAAAGGCCCAACCTCTTTTTTTTTTTAAGATTGATGGTATTAATTGTTTAGAAAATAGAATTCTGCTGTTTGTTTGGGGCTCCGGACACTGCACAACTGAATAAATGTAAAACTCAAGAGTCTTGCTATGCACAGTGGGGGTGCCATCCAAACCCACAGCAAATAAATGGCATTCGGTACTCACTGTGCACAACAGAAGAGCATTTTATTTTCATTGATGTGGATGAAGTACAATTTCTTCAGCAAACAGCAAAAACTGTTAAGGGGCAACAATGAACTCTGCATTTAAAGAAAAATAGAAAATGGAAACACAAAATCCTAAAAATTAAATAAAGGCTCTATGTCAGCACACTGGTATGAAAACACCCATCTTAATCATACACATCTTAATCATACAGGAAACAATCCTTGCTTATCAGAGGTGCCTATCTAAATTCCATAGCTTACCAATATCTTCTTGGGCATAGGCCAAAAAGAAACAGAAAACCTCACATTAAAAAAAAAAAAGTTTCTTTTCCCTAAATGTCCTAAATGTTTTACTGAAGCTAAATTTGAAGGGGAGAGAACGTCAGTCATACTTGTCATCATCATTGAAATCATTATTCTTGCTGTCATCCTCCTCCTCCTCAACCACAGGGGTCTCCACCCTGAAGCCACTGCACTGAATCCCACTGGAGCTTGTGGCCAGCATCCCATCTACAGTGTTGGTCAGATCACTGGCAGAGAGCTGCATGTCATTAGACGTGGAACCTGACATCGTGAACATATCTCCAAAAGTTCCGTTAGCCATTTTTGTCACATATGGCTCCAGAGCCTTTGGGACCAAACTTCTGGCCATTTTAAGGTCTTTGGCAGAACAGATCCCAGACTCTAGCCCGAAAGTCATGCCCATCCATTGCAGCACTTCTGTGTAATCGTGGACTTCAAATGGGTTTTCAAAATGAAACAGATAATCAAATCCGTCGTTGGAGATGCTGCAGTTGATGACGCTATTCTTGCTGGTGCTGACAATCACAAAGGGCAGGTGGATGACTGAGCTGGGCGGCAGCTGCTGGCTGCCCTGTTCCTCTGCATACCGGTTTTTCTGCACCAGGTTCTTGAAGGCAATTTGCTGTAGAATAAGTTGTTGAAGTCGAGATTCTTTCTCCTTTATTCTTTCAAGTCTTTTCTCTTTTTCCACTTGTAAGCTTTGATAGTCCTGAGCCGAGGTGGTGGACAGACCAATCAGACCAATCCACTTGATCATCTTCCCCTCCCTGGAGATGATGTTCATGGCCATCAGCACGTTTAAGGCATCATAGACGCGCCGTTTTATGTTCTTCAGGTCACAAGCTATCTCGTGTGGTGGGAGGTGGTTGTTGGCAGCTTTGAACTCGGTGACCAGCTCACCCACCACTTCCTTAGAGGAAGTGGTCCCTTTCTTCTGCACCTTCTCCCAGACCTTCATGGAGAAATGTTGCAGGCCTATGCCATCCTTCTCTACTTTCTTGCAGCGTTGCCTGGCCAACCAAGGTGAGGAGTTGGAAGGCTGGTTCTGAGAGGCAAAATGAGTGCTGGGTGGGTTTGGGCTGCCTACCACAAGGATGTTTGATGTTGCCAGTCTCTGAGGCATACCAATTACCACTTGCTGCACATTGTTGACAGTGGACTCTCCAAAGGTTTTTGGCAAGAACGGCCTCCCAAACGGCTTTAGGATGTAGGGCTGAACCTCCATGGGGCCACTGGTCTGGTTCTGGTCCATTACGACCTTGAGTTCCTTGTTAGCTTTCGCTATACTGATATATTCTGCCATGTTGCCAGATCTGGGAAATGAATGCTATAAATGTTCACCCTCCCAGAGAAGAAAAATGATTCTTCGTGGCCAAGAGACGGACCGGAACGACGTGCGCAGCGTGAGGTGCGCGGCGTGAGGTGCGCGGCGTGAGGTGCGCGGCGTGAGGTGCGTGGCATAACGTGCGCGGCGTGAGGTGCGTGGCAGGCAGCCCTCCGGAGCAGTGCACCTGTGGGGCTTTTTAACCCTTCAGCCCCCCTCCTCTGGCCCTATATCTTAATACTGCTACAATGGTAATTAAGTTTCCAATGCATGAGGTTTGGAGGACACATTTAAAGCATAGCACATCCTAAAGGGACTGATGAAAATCAGATGTGTAGGTCTCTGCAGGCCCATCTATCATTTCTTCCCAGCCACTGTCTCACAAGAAGCTGGATCTAGACTTTCGCAAGCATTATATTTTCACCTGCTGGTCAAGAAGCTTCCTGTGGAAGAATCAAGTTTTTGTCTCTCTACCCAAACAGCTACACTAAGGCTTCCTGATTAGATAGAGTGGAGATGGTGAAAGGAAGTTAACAATATACATACAGTATCATTAGTTTGTTGGGCTGTGGTACAATCAATAGACTAAGTCCACAGCCTTCACCTCACTTCAGAAGCTACACACATTGCCAATGAGAAAGAGATCTAAAGAGAGAATAGGACAAAGCCCAAAAGAAGCAGATGCCTGTGACAGTCTCTTTCTCTCACCCTCCCTTGGTCTCAATTCTGCCTCACTCACCAAGAGCCCTAATAACCATGCTACAAAGGCTCTGTGTCTTTAGGCCTGCTTCTCACCAACTTCCTCTAGAACCTCAGCTCTGGAAATAGGAATGTAATTGCACACATGCATACACCTCAGCCTCAAACACACAGAGATGCTGACTCGCTCAACTTGGGCTGCCATAACAAAATACCATAGACTGGGTGAGTGAAACAATAGACATTTATTTACTCACAGTTTTGGAGGCTGGAAGTCCAAGTTCAAGTTTCCAACAGGGTTGGTTTCTGGTGAGGGCTCATTTCCTGGCTTCCAGATGTCAGCCTTCTCACTGTGCCCTCACATGGCAGCGGGGCTTGGGGATATCTCTTCCTCTTTTATAAGGCCACATCCTATCATATTTGGGACCCACCCTTATGTCCTCATTTAACCTTAATTACCTCCTAAAGACCCTATCTCCAGAAACAGTCAAATTGGAAGGTAGGGCTTCAACATATGAGTTTTAGTGGGTAGGGTGACAAAATTCAGTCTATAGCATTTGCTAAACAGAACCAGAGCTGGACAACAGTGAAAGAATAGCAAAATTGGGGATTAGGAGTTCAACATATACATTTTTAGTGGGTAGGGGGACAAAATTTAGTCTACAGCATTTGCCTAACAGAACCAGAGCTGGATGGTAGTGAAAGAGGTAAAACATATTATTCAGGAACTATTGCAATGGGGCAGAGACCTCAGGATAGAACTGGGCTCAATTCTTTTTTAAGGCAGAGTCTTACTTTGTCACCAAGGCTGGAGTGCAGTGGTGTGATCCAGGCTCACTGCAACCTCTGCCTCCCCAGTTCAAGCAATTCTTCTGCCTCAGCTTCCTGAATAGCTGGAATTCCAGGTGCCTGCCACCACATCTGGCTGTGAGCCACTATGCCTGGCCTGGGTTCAATTCTAAATGCAGTAAAGGCAAGAGGATTGTAGCTAAGGAGCAGAGTGAAGTGGTCAGTGGATGAAAAATTACTAAGAAGAGACATCAAGGGTAGGTGAATTTTTGTTTAACCAACTTAACAAGATTCTTGCTAAAGGCAGGCTGGGGTGATCAGATATCCAGGGTCAGGGTGAAGAGTCTGATCAGATATTAAAGGTGATTGGATATCAAGAGCGGGGGATTCTCACTAAAGTAACTTAAACTAAACTCTTGCTAAAACTAGATTCAGCAAGGATGGGGTCAAAAAGAGAGCTTACAGGAGCCTATCTAAAGTTTATTTAAGGAGAGAGTTTTAATCCCTCTGGTTTCCCCAGATTTGTTTTCTCACTTGCAAAATGTATTAATTCCATTCCAACAGTCCCCAAAGTCTCCACTCTTTCCAGCATCAACCTTAAAGTCTGAAGTCCAAAGTCTCATCTAAATAGCATCTAAATTATATATTGGTGAGACTCAAGGTAAGATTCATCCAGAGACAAAATTCCTCTCTAGCTATGAACCTGTGAAACCAGACTAGTCATGTGCACCCAAACTACAAGGTGAAAGAGGCATAGGATGGACATTCCCATTCCAAAAGAAAGAAGGAAGAAAATGGTAATGAGTCCCAAGCAAGTCCAAAACCTAGCAAGGCAAATTCCATGAGATCTTAAGGCTCAAGAATAATCGTCTTTAGTTCATCACTCTACCCACCACTTGGGTGGCAGTGCCACCTTCATGGTTCTGCTAGGGCCCTGCCCCTTCAGTTATCAGGGAGGGTCCAGCCCAAAGGATTGTCCGTAAAGGCTGCCTTGCTTCTCAGGCACGGGGCAGGGTCATCCTGGCCCACTGAAACTGGAGAGGTGTTACCACCCTTTGAAACTGAGGTAGAAACAGCCTTGCCCCCTGGGCCTGTGGCAGAAGTGTCAGCCCTGATTATCTATAAACACCTTCATGGTTATTCTCATTTTTCCTTGAAGAACAGTACAATTAGCAGCCAAATAGCTAAATGGTCTGCTCCTGAGAATCCAAGAACTTCAAAAGTCTTACTTTATTCTGTGCAGCTTTCTCTATCTCCTTCAGTTCAAACTAGCAGTGTTTTTTGCTGATATAATCCCACTTCTATTCCTGGCATCTGCTGAGATGGCTAATTAAATGCCTGAGTCCCACCCACAATCTTTTTATCAAATGGTTGTTCAGCTGTAGCATTAGTGTTTTCTTCAGAACAAGTTTTATTTTTTTGCAATATGGATAGGCTGAGAATTTTCCAAGTCGTTAAGTTCTGGTTCCTTTTTGGTTACCAATTTCTTCTCTAATTCCTCTCTCTCTTCCTGCATTTTACTATAATTAGGAGAAACCAAGCTAATCCTTCAACACTTTGCTTAGAAATCTCCTTTTAGCTAAATATCCAATGTCTTCACTTGCATGTTCTAACTTCTGCAAAACACTAGGACACAGTTCAGCCAAGTTCTTTGCCAACATATAATAGAAATCACCTTTCCTCCAGTTTTCAATATCATGTTCTTTATTTCTCTGTGAGACCTCACCAGGAATGCTCTAAATGTCCATATTTCTAGTATGTGCCACAAGACTCTAGCCTTTTACCCGTTATCCAGTTCCAAAGCCACTTCCACATTTTTAGGTGCTTTTTTTACGGCAGCACCCCACTTCTCAGTACCAAAATCTGTCTTACTGTGTCTGGGCTACCATATCAAAATACTGTAGACTGGTGGCTTACACAGCATACATTTATTTTCTCACAGTTCTGGAGACGGGAAAGTCTAAGACCAAGCTTCTAGCAGGATTTGGTCTCTGGTGAGCACCCTCTGTATTTTGCAGATGGCTGCCTTTTCACTGTGTTCTCACATGAAAAAGAGAAAGAGAAAGAAGGAGGAAAATAAAGGAAAAGAGAGAGAGAGAGATATTTCACTTATTATAAGGATATCGTCCTGTAAGATTAAGATTTCACTCTTATGATTTCATTTAATTTTAATTATCTTCTAAAGACTCTATCTCCAAATATAGTTAAATTGTGAGTTTGGATTTCAGCATAAGAATTTTCAGAGTATGCAATTTAGTTCATAGCAGGTGCTCTACTGGTTTTTTTCTCTGTGCCCTGTGGTAGCTGCAGACAGGTAGGCTTTGCTGAGCTCATTAAGCATTGGCAGAACTTCTCAGAGACTTTGCTCAGAATGTAAGGCCCCAACAGAGCAAAAAATGGCTCCTGACATCTAAGTGTTGACATGCTTACCAAGCCTCATCCAGGCTTCCCACTCTAACATTTGAGAGGCACAGAACAAGAATAAAAACAAGGCATATGCCTCATAATTAAAAATTATAAGTTGAAGCAAAAAAATTATTAAATAAAATATGTTCTATCTTCCATTTTGACAACTATACATTTATAAAAGCAAAAGCAATAAATATCTGTAAAGTGATGGTTTTAATACTATTGAAAGTCAGCACAGTATCAAAGATGACTAAATTTAATTGTGACTGAACATCTGAGTGTTCTTATGGGCTAGCAATATGGATGAACAATAATGTAAAGATATACATATTTCAGTAATTATTTTGTATTCCATAAATTAATTTTGTCACCTTCAGCAAAAATCACCATATGTGTTATTCATTTCTGTAATAGTAAATTTTTACGTAAAGTATAATTTTCAGTAATGATCCAAAGCAGAGGTCAGCAGACTTTTTCTGTTAAGGGATAGATAGTAAAAATTTGAAGTTTTTCAGATACCAGACAGTCTCTATTTCAACTACACTCTGCCATTGTAGTACAGAAGCTATAATACTCACTATGTAAACAAATGGATGTGGCTGTGCTCTAGTAAATCTTTATTTATAAGAATAGGCAGTCCACTTGTGGGCCATACCCCTGAGCTAAATGAGTAAAACATAAAATGTAAGATGACATCAGCAAGATAGCAGAGTAGGAAATCCAGCCCTCCTTGCCACACAAAAACAATGATCTAATAACTACCCACAGATGCAAATAGCACCCGGGAGTTTTCCCATGGCTCGGCCATGAGTGTAAAGGTTTATCTAGTCCTACAGAGCACAGCAACCTCTTAGTACCTAGAAGAAGAGAGGAGAACAGATTTAGGAAGAGACTTTTCCTAACCTCTCATGGCAAAGGAATCGCACACATTTTAGCCCAGCAAAAGGGAAGGTAGCTTGTCCTAGTGGAACAAAGGGTGGCCTGGCAACCACATGAATTCCAAATCTTGCTGTGTGGCTTGGGGAAAGCTGCTACAGGCCAGGTGTGGTGGCTCATGCCTGGTCTTGAACTCTTGACCTCAGGTGATCACCCTTCTCTGCCTCTCAAAGTGCTGGGATTACAGGCATGAGCCACCACACCTGGCCTGTAGCATCAAATTCTTAT